ACCAATCATCTTTGCTAGAATAAATCCACACAGACTCTGGCTGTTGGTATTCATTTATTATGTTGGAAAATATTTTCTTCATGATATCCATCTGTCTTAGATTATTTCCTATTACTCTTACAAAATACCTAAGACTTGATGATTTATAAAGAACAGAGATTTATTTTGGCTGAGAGTCTCATAGCTAAGTCCAAAAACATGGTTCTACATCAGCTCAGCTTCTGGTGAGGCTCTTGTGCTGCATACTAACATTACAGAAAAGTGGAAGGGCAAACAGGTGTATGTGAGAGAGAGGGGGGAAAGCAAAGAGGCAGCCTTGCTTTTTAATAACCAACTCTCACAGTACACTAATCCAGTCCCTCTCACTCCTGCAAAATGGCATTAATCCTGTCACTTCTTAAAGTTCCAATCCCAGAAGCTAAAAAAAAAATGTTAATCTGAAAATAGAATAGTAATCACTAGACACTAGGAAGGGATCAAGTAGAAAAAGGGTGGTTGGGTTTGATCAGTGCATGTTGTATGCATGTGTAGAAATATCACAAGGAATCCCATTAGTGTGTAACTAACATATTAAAAATTAAAAATAAAATTAAAGAATATCTCTCTTCCCAACATTATAAAATTCAGTGGGAGTGACAAACCATATTCAAATGATAGCACCATCCATAAGGAGAAGCGAAAATAGTTCATGCAATTTTTAGGACAAGAGCAAGAGTGTACCACTGCCATCTTAACACAGAAGTAAATTAGCTCTCTTACTATCTGTACTTCACAGATGAGACCTTACTCATCTAGTATCATGCTGGCTTATTCTATTTATGATATTATGCTCATTTGAACCTAATTTGGACAAATATAGGAACAGACAAGGACTTAATGCACCAAGCAAGACAATATACACAAACAAAAAAAAATAGTAAATTAGTAAAGGGATCCTCAAAGTTCATGGACTTACCACTTGTATGAAATGTGAAATTTCAAGGTACATGGTTTGGAACATTTCAAAATAACCTAAGAGAAAAAGATAAAAAGAGAGGTACAGAATTTGGTAGACCTCTTTGGATTTTGAAGAATGTATATACCAAAATTGGGAATAATATTCTAACCCATTTATCAGATGTCTTCAAAGGCTTCCAGCTTTGAGTGGAGATCACAGAAAGAGTTGGTTTCTCAGTGTATGTAGGAGACTTACCTCTGGATGCAAAAAGAGAAAGACTATATTATCTTTTTATACTATAAAAATACCCCTTCCTGAAACTTTCAGCTAGTGCTACAAAGATTAAACCTACACACACACACACACACACACACACACACACACACACACACACATATAGAGAGAGAGATAGATAGATAGATAGATCTATACATATAAACAATAAATATTTTTTTTATTAAAGCACTCATTGACCTCTGGTTTTCCATAATCAAAACAATGTCTGATTCTTAAGGATTCCTTGATCATTGTGATGAGGATACAAAATCTTTCTAATATTTACACTAAATCAAGCTAGATTTGATAGATCCTTTAAAGTAAAGATCAGTGAAATATAAGTTAATACTTTATAAGTTCTATTTCAAAAAACTTACTTAAGAAAATTGATTCAGTTACTCTGATGACCAGACTTCATTTTCTCAGAATAAATCAATGTAGAATGGATCTCTTGCTGTTAGAAGGAAATATGTAACACTATTATCACTTGGTAATATGTATTATCACTGATATAACAAGGTTGATTTCCAATTTTCTGGGTTTTTTCTGAACATCTAAAATTTA